ATATTTATTCGAATACTATATTTATTTATTTATCCTTTATTGCAACACACCAACTAGGGGTTACAAAGGGCGGACTTAATGCCCTATGGCATTCTCTACCAGTCAACCCGACAAAAATGGAATAAATAAAGATGTTGGCAGGTGCAAGTGAAGGACAATAATAAAACATAAGTTATAAATAAAAACATTTCAGCTATAATAAATAGATTACACAATACAAAACTACCTAATTACATTATATATACTGTACATTAAACCAAACTAATTTTACGGATTTTATCACAATAAATTTCAACTTTTTAATTCTAATTCATCGATAGGCACTCAATAGAGTAACACGTACCTAAGTGATCTATTATTATTGTTTTTTTTTCTAAGTACCCACAGATATGGTCAATATGACTCAGTGTGATCAATGTAATAAGAATATTACCAAAACAAGGCCTGGCGTGGAGTGCAATCGCTGTGAAAAATTGGTACATCTGAGCACAGCATGTGATGGTCTTACCAACAAGCAGGTATCTGCACTACGCGCAACGGACAGCCTAGAATGGACGTGCCAGGACTGCCACAATCAATCGCCAAAAAGACGTTTAATCGTAGTCCCAGAAGATGACGATGATGAACCTCGAGTAGCTTCGTCTGCTGGTAATTTTCAAATTGACATTAAAAATCTGATGGAGGACATTTCGAAAGAAATTCAAAAAACTATAAGAAGGGAAATAAAAGACATACATCAGACAATCCAGTTCCATACAGAAAAAGTAGACGAAGCCATGGAGAACCTAGAAGCTTGTCAAAAAACAATTATTGAACTGAAAAAGAAAAATATCGAACTTACGAATAAAAATAGTAATTTGGAAACTAGGTTAGCAGCCATCGAGCAATGCATGCAAGATATGGAGCAACACAAGCTTGCTATGTGTGTTGATATTGTTAATTTAACCCAAAAAGACAATGAAGATCCTATGGTGATTGCTCAAGAGATAGCAGGTAAGTTAAAACAACCTACTAGTGACGTCATTCATGCTGAAGGTTTACCTGGCAAGAAAGAACATCCAGGACCAATAAGGGTTCAATTAAAATCACAAATCACTCAAGATAAATGGTTGGAGACATACAAACAAATAACCAAAAAAATCCCTGTCCCTGCTGCCAAGGGAGTCATAACGGAGCAAGTTAAAAGCGATGTCAAAACTACTTCGCTAGGATTTAAGTCAATAATAATCAGAGAAGCTTTGACAGCCTACAACAAATACTTACTATGGAACGCGAAGCAAGAACTTAAGAGTACCTTTAAATATATATGGATGAAGAAGGGAGTTCTTCGTGTACGCAAAGAAGGGCAGAATGAAAAACCTATCATCATCCACTCTATAAATGATATTAAACAGCTGAGAGAATAAATAGGTATTTATATATTATAAGCTAATAATACGTTAAAAATTGTGTATGAGTACTTTTCCTTAATGAATAGCTTACACTCCGATATAACAGAGATTAAAAACTGTATAGATGTCCAAACCTTTATAAATAATTTACCTAGTAATATTAATCTATCTTGTTTACATATTAACATACGTTCACTAATAAAAAACTTTTCTGCTCTTGAGGAAAGAATTATTTCATGTACGAAATTATAGATGTAATAATTGTTACTGAAGCAAATATATCATCATCACTCAGCTCATTGTACCAGATGGAAGGGTATAATATGTACACAGAGTTGTGAAATAATCGTAAAGAAGGAGGTATTATTATGTACATTCATAAAAAACATAAATATAGAGTTCATAATAAAAAAAACACGGTACTTTGTATGCATTTTAGGCCAAATAACCACCCCAAATAAATATTCCGCAACTGTGTTAGCAATATACCGCCCACCCTCATTTAGTAAACACTTGTTTATAAATGAATTACACTGCACACTTAAAACTGTAAATAAAATACTGCATTGTACAACTTAGCCGTGTAGTGGCGGTTAAGAATATCCACTACCCCATATCTTCCCGTGGGTGTCGTAAAAGGCGACAAAGGGAAACAGGCAGGAGATGGGCAGCAGCATCTTCCTGATAATAGCCAAAATAACAATAAAAAACTGCGGTTGCCAACCCGCTCGCCAAACGTGGCAACTATGGCAATATACCCCCCATGAGCAATGACAATAATAAACGGCCCCCAGTCCCCGGCGGCCCCGCTATTCCTGGCTATGGTGGCGACCATGGTAACGGCGGGGCAGGGGGTGCTAAGAATCTCCGGTGGAGGTTTGGTTGCCACCTACGACGATTCGACCTGGCAACATACAACGCACGCACCCTGAGGACTGACGAGAAGATTGTGGAGCTGGAAGAAGAGATAGACAAGTTACGCTGGCATATTATAGGATTATCCGAAGTCCGAAGAGAGGGGGAGGACACGGTAATCCTCGAATCCGGCAACTTGCTCTATTACCGGGAGGGCGACCATCTCTCCCAAGGACGTGTCGGATTTATCGTCCACAAGTCTCTTGTTAACAACGTTGTAAAGATTGAGAGTGTGTCGACGAGGGTTGCGTACCTTATACTCAGAATCACCAAACGGTATTCGCTGAAGGTCATACAGGTTTACGCACCAACCTCGGCACACCCCGATCAGGAGGTGGAGGAAATGTATGAGGATATCTCTAGAGCCATGCATTCCTCCAAAACCCAATATACGGTGTTAATGGGAGACTTCAATGCAAAACTAGGCACAAGAGAGAACGGTGAGCTGAAAGTAGGGAAATTTGGAATAGGGCAACGGAACCCAAGGGGCCAGCAGTTGGCCGACTTCATGGAGAAAGAAGGACTCTTTATGATGAACTCTTTCTTCCAGAAGCGGCCCCACAGGAAGTGGACCTGGTCGAGCCCCGACGGTTCGACAAAAAATGAGATTGACTTCATTATGACGACCAGACGACAACTGTTCAGTGATGTCTCAGTGATCGCGAGGGTGAAAACCGGCAGCGATCACCGAATGGTTAGAGGCACACTGAACCTAAACGTTAAGTTGGAGAGGTCTCGTCTAATGAAGTCAACGCTCCGTCCCCCTCGTGCTCTAATCCAAAGTCCCGAAACCTTTCAGCTCGAGTTACAAAACCGTTTTCAGTGCCTAGAAGACTGCAATGAAGTGGACGATTTGAATGACAAGCTCGTGGAAACTGTCCATGCAGTCGGAGCTAAGTTCTGCAAGACCCGCCGCAGAAGAACACAAAAACTCTCCGATCACACTCTTAATCTCATGGCTGTTAGACGGGAGATGAAGCTACATTCTTCAACAGATTTAACAGCATACAGGCATTTTTAAATAAAACTAATTTTACGGATTTTATCGCGTATATTAACTTATTTTTATATTCCCGACGTTTCGGGTGCTTTCCAGCACCCGTGGTCACGGGGGACTGAGTTGTTTGACGTCCTGCTGTCATAGTTAGCCCGGCTACCTTCAGTTTTTTAATATTAATTTTTGGTTCGATTTACGCAGAAAGAGCCTTACAGTATCTTGAAGTCTAGCAGTGGTATACTTGGGTTTGGATTTGATTTTATTAATTATGGGATCCCAAGCAGATGGCAGCACCCATCCATCTTCTCTATTGAAATTAGGATGTTTTTTAATTTCAATAGCCTCGCGAATCATCCTTGGGAGGAATCGGTGTTCTTTTGCGAGGATTTGTGGTCTATCAAATCTAATGTAATGACGGGGACGATCCTGAACATGTTCACAAACTGCAGACTTCCCGATACGTCGGTGCTTCACGTCAGCTATATGTTCTTTAACGCGGGTTTTAATAGATCTTTTTGTTTGTCCTATGTACGAGAGACCACATTCACAATCCAGCTTGTACACTCCTGCATCTTGTAGAGGGATATGACACTTGACGGATGGTAAAAATTGACCAATCTTCTTCAGCGGCTTGAAGTACGTTTTAATGGAAGCTCGCTTCAAGATGTAGCCAACCTTGTCTGTGACTCCTCTGACATAGGGTAGTACAGCAGGCACACGCTCGACTGTGGCTGGCTTCACTCGGTCACTGTGACGTAGGCGCGGGACCCGAAGCTTGTTGTCTTGCAGTACTTGCTCGACGTGCTGAAGCTCGGCGGCCAGATGTTTTCTGTCACAGATCCCTCGTGCTCTCTGAAACAAAGATTTTCCCACGGTAGCTAACTGTGAAGGATGATGGTGAGATTCACCATTTAAATATCGGTTGGTATGGGTATTTTTTCTGTACACAGTATGACCAATAGTGTTATCAGGATTTCGGATGACTAAAACATCTAGAAAAGCTAAAGTATTGTTTGCCTCTAACTCCATTGTGAATTGTATTTTAGGGTTTATGGAATTAAGGTGGTTTAAAAATGCAGTTACTTTGTCAGATGGTAAAATTGTGAAAGTATCGTCTACGTACCGCTTGTAGAATCTTGGATTTACAGGAGCAGTAAGAAGGGCTTTCTCCTCAAAGTCCTCCATGAATATGTTCAAGTTCAGCGCCGAAATTAAACCTGCCCAAAGACGAATTTAAAGCGTTGTACAACTTACGCAACAGACCAGAGCTCACGATTCTCCGCGCAGATAAAGGAAATGCTACGGTAATAATGGACACGTCAGAGTATAATTTCAAAATACAACAACTTTTATCGGACGTAAGTACATACAAAAAGGTCAAAATAGATCCTACAACTAATACACTCAAAACAACTACTGATTTAATAAAGAAATACTCCGAAAAATTAAATCTTGACGTGAATTCGACAATACCATCATGTGCCAAACCACCGAGGTTGTATGGGTTACCGAAAATACACAAACCAAACGCTCCACTACGTCCTATAGTAAGCCAGATCGATTCACCAACTTATAAGTTGGCTCAACACTTGGCGAAAATACTGTCACCACTAAGAGGACATACCAGAGCACACACAAAGGATTCATACCAATTTGTTAGTGAGATTAAAGACCTACATCTCGCTGACAATGAAACTATGGTCAGTTTTGATGTTCAGTCACTATTCACATGCCTACCTATTGAAGACTGCATCTCAATTGTTACTAGAAAGCTAGAAGATAACAACATGCCTACAGAATATGCAGTATTACTCAAACACTGCCTCACATCTGGCTATTTATTGTGGAAAGAAGAGTTCTACATGCAAGTAGATGGAGTGGCAATGGGCTCACCTGTATCTCCCGTAGTCGCCGACATATTCATGGAGGACTTTGAGGAGAAAGCCCTTCTTACTGCTCCTGTAAATCCAAGATTCTACAAGCGGTACGTAGACGATACTTTCACAATTTTACCATCTGACAAAGTAACTGCATTTTTAAACCACCTTAATTCCATAAACCCTAAAATACAATTCACAATGGAGTTAGAGGCAAACAATACTTTAGCTTTTCTAGATGTTTTAGTCATCCGAAATCCTGATAACACTATTGGTCATACTGTGTACAGAAAAAATACCCATACCAACCGATATTTAAATGGTGAATCTCACCATCATCCTTCACAGTTAGCTACCGTGGGAAAATCTTTGTTTCAGAGAGCACGAGGGATCTGTGACAGAAAACATCTGGCCGCCGAGCTTCAGCACGTCGAGCAAGTACTGCAAGACAACAAGCTTCGGGTCCCGCGCCTACGTCACAGTGACCGAGTGAAGCCAGCCACAGTCGAGCGTGTGCCTGCTGTACTACCCTATGTCAGAGGAGTCACAGACAAGGTTGGCTACATCTTGAAGCGAGCTTCCATTAAAACGTACTTCAAGCCGCTGAAGAAGATTGGTCAATTTTTACCATCCGTCAAGTGTCATATCCCTCTACAAGATGCAGGAGTGTACAAGCTGGATTGTGAATGTGGTCTCTCGTACATAGGACAAACAAAAAGATCTATTAAAACCCGCGTTAAAGAACATATAGCTGACGTGAAGCACCGACGTATCGGGAAGTCTGCAGTTTGTGAACATGTTCAGGATCGTCCCCGTCATTACATTAGATTTGATAGACCACAAATCCTCGCAAAAGAACACCGATTCCTCCCAAGGATGATTCGCGAGGCTATTGAAATTAAAAAACATCCTAATTTCAATAGAGAAGATGGATGGGTGCTGCCATCTGCTTGGGATCCCATAATTAATAAAATCAAATCCAAACCCAAGTATACCACTGCTAGACTTCAAGATACTGTAAGCTCTTTCTGCGTAAATCGAACCAAAAATTAATATTAAAAAACTGAAGGTAGCCGGGCTAACTATGACAGCAGGACGTCAAACAACTCAGTCCCCCGTGACCACGGGTGCTGGAAAGCACCCGAAACGTCGGGAATATAAAAATAAGTTAATATACGCGATAAAATCCGTAAAATTAGTTTTATTTAAAAATGTGTAGTGTTCGCGTAAATATAAGAAATCATTAAGCATACAGGCAACTGAACAGACAGATCTCCAAATGCATGCGGCGGGACTTACGCAAATTCAATACAGCTCGTATTGAAGAAGCGATTGAGCGGAACCAAGGCTCCAAAGTCTTTGCCAGAGATCTGTCTGCCAGAAAGCGCCAACTGTCAAAGCTGAAGACAGAATGTGGCAGCATAGTTTCCGGGGCACCTGAGATTTTGAGTGAGATTGAGAGGTTCTATGGGCAGCTGTACACGTCATCGTTGGAGCCGCACGCAAGTGTGAGTAACGATCCAAGAGCGAGTCTTATCCGACATTATTCCGATGATATCCCGGACGTCAGTCTGAGCGAGATTAGAATGGCTCTCCAGCACCTTAAAAACGGCAAGGCCCCAGGCGAGGATGGAATTACAGCGGAGCTTCTGAAAGCGGGTGGAAAACCGGTACTTGAAGTCCTTCAGAAGCTCTTTAATTCCGTCCTCCATGGTGGCATTACACCGGAGGCGTGGAGCAGAAGTGCGGTGGTCTTGTTCTTCAAGGCGACAACGCTCTCTTGAAGAACTACAGACCGATTTCCCTTCTGAGCCGCGTCTACATGCTGTTTTCGAGAGTCATTACGAATCGTCTCACGCGCAGACTTGACGACTTCCAGCCTCCCGAACAATCCGGTTTCCGAAAAGGCTTTAGCACCATAGACCACATACATACCCTTCGGCAAATTGTACAGAAGTCCGAGGAGTACAATTTGCCACTATGTCTGGCGTATGTGGACTATGAGAAAGCCTTTGATTCCATCGAAATTTGGGCGGTGCTGCAGTCCCTTCAGCGATGCCAAGTTGACTGTCGGTATATCGAAGTGTTGAAGTGCTTGTACAGTAGGGCTACGATGGCTATCCGAGTACAGAACCAGAGTACGAAACCTATCCAATTGCAGAGAGGTGTAAGACAGGGTGACGTCATATCCCCGAAACTCTTTACCGCTGCATTGGAAGATGTTTTCAAGCCTCTGGACTGGAAAGGATACGGTATCAACATCAATGGCGAGTACATCACTCACCTTCGATTTGCCGACGATATAGTCCTTATGGCAGAATCGCTGGAGGACCTAAGCACTATGCTCAATGACCTCAATAGTGTTTCCCAACGGATAGGTCTTAAGATGAACATGGACAAAACAAAGATCATGTTTAATGTCCATGTCACGCCTATGCCGGTAGTTGTTGGGAACACTAAGCTCGAAGTTGTTGACGAGTATGTTTACCTGGGACAAATAGTCCGACTAGGTAAGTCCAACTTCGACCGAGAGGTCAATCGACGGATTCAACTCGGTTGGGCAGCGTTCGGGAAATTACGGCACATCTTCTCGTCAGGTATACCTCAAACCTTGAAAACGAGACTGTACACCCAGTGCGTGTTGCCAGTAATGACATACGGAACTGAGACGTGGTCCTTCACTGCTGGCCGGATGAGGAAGCTCAAGGTCGCTCAGCGAGCTATGGAGAGGGCTATGCTCGGAGTTTCTCTGCGTGATAAACTCAGAAATGAGGATATCCGCAGTAGAACTAGAGTGACCGACATAGCCCAACGGATTAGTAAGCTGAAGTGGCAATGGGCCGGCCATATAGCTCGAAGAACCGACAACCGATGGGGAAGAAAGGTTCTCGAGTGGCAGCCTCGTACCGGCAGGCGAAGTGTAGGGCGTCCCCCCACTAGATGGAGTGACGACCTGGTAAGATATGCAGGAAGTCGATGGATGCAGGTGGCTCAGGACCGTGCTTTGTGGCATTCTTTGGGGGAGGCCTATGTTCAGCAGTGGACTTGTGAAGGGCTGTAATGATGATGATGATTGTACAACTATGGTCTAATGTGCGGAATCACACAATATACAAGAATTGAAATCGCTAACTGCAAATTAAGCAAGACTTGTATCGATCATATCTATGCGAGATCCCGCACACAAGGCGTGTATACAGCGGCTCTCGGTACTCAACTGGCTGACCACCGTGCAATAGTTTTAGCATGCATCGGAACTGGCAGAGTGCGTACACAGGCTGTTCAAACTTTTAAGGGAAACTATAATTATAAAGTACTTGTTTCGCAATTAAAGGATATCGACTGGCAAAATACTAAACATATCTTTTGTCCTTTGAAATTGTATTCTTTGATATTAAAAAACATTAAGACATGTTATAATAAATCGCTAATAAAAATATAAAATTAAAAATGATTACAGACGTAATAACAATAATTGGATGAATAAAAAAATACATACGGCATGCAACTATAGAGACAAATTATTTATAAAATGGCTCAAAGATACAAATAATAAAATATTAAAATTGGAATACAATAAAGCTAGAAATTACGCTAATAAAATTATACAAGAATATAAAAACAAATATATAAAATCTGAAATTATTAACAACAAAAAGGATATAAGAAATCTATGGGGTATTCTAAATAAAATTACAGGCAAAGTCGTTGCTTCAGTAGATAACGTTATAAGAAATGCTATGGAAATGAACACTATAAAAACTGCCGACATCGCAAATAATTTTGCGAAAACATTAAGTGATAGCGTAAAAAATATTACACCCAAATGCAACATTAATATTCTGGATTCAGCTAGTTACCGCCGTCCAGCTAACCTCTCTATTAGATTTCAAAAAGCTACTGCAGGATCTGTTAACAAAATTATCCATTCATTAAGCACTAAAAAGCTCCTGGTTTTGATGAAATAAGAATTATTGATGTTAAAAATATAAGTGAAAAAATTGCACCCATTATAACTAATCTTATAAATATATCAGTGCAAAATGGTACATATCCAGCAGAGCTAAAAACAGGTATAGTACGTCCAATCTATAAAAAAGGTAGTCCTAAAGATTATGATAACTATCGTCCAATCACGATACTGCCAATAATTGATAAAATTATTGAAAAATTTATCACTCGACAAATACTAAACTTCTATTCAGACAACAGTATCATAACAGAAAAACAGTTTGGCTTCCAACCTAAAAAAAGCACTACACAACTATTAAGTAAATTTTCAGATTCCATCTACACTCATCTTAATAATAAAAAACATTTCCTAGTTGTATTCGTCGATTACAGCTAGGCTTTTGATACCCTGCGGCACAGTACGCTTATAGAAAAACTTAATGACTGTGGAGTAAGAGGCCTTCTCAACAAATGGTGTCAGAATTATATGCAAGACAGAACCCTATATATCAAGGTTGGAGAGGAACTTAGCTCTATGGTGAGAGTATCAGAAGGCACAGCACAGGGCTCTGTTTTGGGGCCAGTGCACTACATCACATATGTTAACGATCTGATTAACCTGATTAACAACTGTGAAATCTATCAATTTGCAGACGACACATGTTTAGTATCTGCAGACGTTAACATAAATGTCGCACTACATCGGCTCCAAACGGACTTCACCCTTCTAACAAAATGGTCCCATGATGGTGGGCTTGTTCTTAACGCCAACAAAACTAAGCTTATGTATATCAGCTCCAGCCAAAAAAGGATTTTTTTTTATAGGAGAGGGGGCAAACGAGCATGCGGCTCACCTGATGGTAAGTGACTACTGCCGCCCATGAACAACTGCAACACCAGGGGAATCGCAGATGCGTTGCCGGCCTTTAAAAATTTAATACAAGTCCTCAATTAATCATCCACGATCACGCTTGCCTTCACTCAGACCATATCAACTGCGCATGTGAACCCGTAGAAGTAGTAAAAACGCAAAAATATCTTGGACTAGTCATTGATGACCGCTTTAAATGGACCGATCACATTAACTCTGTTTGCGATAAATTGAGAGCAATTTTGGCAAAATTTTTACTAATTAAATGGAAAATACCCTTTGCAACGAAAATGCTGCTGTACAAAGCATTAGGAGAATCTGTCATATCCTACGGGCTGAGTAGTTATGGACGGACATACAAATCGCACCTTGACCTAATTTATCAACTCCAGCTAAGAATTCTTAAAGCCATCGTATCACCTCACGTAAAAGACAAGTACAGAAACAATTATGATGGTCTATTTAGTTAATGTTAGATTATTCCCGTCCATGAGAAAGTTAAATTAACTTTACTTAACGAACAGTATTTTAATAAAGATATACAACACTTAATTGATCATAAGAAACAGACTCGCAGTGTGTCAAAGGCTTTGCTGACAATACCACGATCTCAAAATCATAACAGAAGACAACGACTTGCCTATATTATACCCAAACTAATAAATGAATTACATTTTACACTTAAAAATGACATTACTATGCAAAATATAAAAAAAAATTAAAACTACATTATTTAGATAAATTAAAAAGCATCTTACTAAATAACTATATCATATTTATGTAAGTAAATTATCAAAACGGAGATTAACTAGCAACCATAGTACAGTTAAATCTATCGCTTGTAAACACCCTGTGTACGTTCATTTGCTAGCCGGTTCTGTGCGTCTGAGTAATGACATATTTCTACTACCCGACAATATACGTATTGTGAGCGTGTGGATCTTCGCTACGATTTTAAAGCATGTTATAAGTATTTACCGTAATATGTAAGAGACAATGTCCGTACGTAGGTTAAGCAGCACCGAGTGCCGTCGATGAAGCATGATGTAAAAATAAACCTTGTTAGGTTTTTGCGACACCGTGTTTGATTAATTTAAACTTTTTTTGTCTTCGGTCTGTAGTTCTTCAAGAGAGCATTGTCGCCTTTCTTGAAATACAAAACCACCGCACTTCTGCTCCACACCTCCGGTGTAATGCCATCATAGAGGACGTAATTAAAGAGCTTCTGAAGAACTTCAAGTACCGGTTTTCCACCCGCTTTTAGAAGCTCCGCTGTAATTCCATCCTCGCCTGGAGCCTTGCTGTTTTTAAGGTGCTGGAGAGCCATTCTAATCTCGCTCAGACTGACGTCCGGGATATCATCGGAATAGTGTCGGATAAGACTCGCTCTTGGATCGTTACTCACACGTGCGTGTGGCTGCAACGATGACGTGTACAGCTGCCCATAGAACTTCTCAATCTCACTCAAAATCTCAGGTGCCCCGGAAACGATGGTGCCACATTCTGTCTTCAGCTTTGACAGTTGGCTCTTTCTGACAGACAGATCTCTGGCAAAGACTTTGGAGCCTTGGTTCCGCTCAATCGCTTCTTCAATACGAGCTGTATTGAAGTTGTGTAAGTCCCGCCACATGCATTTGGAGATCTGTCTGTTCAGTTGCCTGTATGCAGTCAAATTTGTGGAAGAATGTAGCTTCATCTCCCGTCTAACAGCCATGAGATTAAGATTGTGATCGGAGAGTTTTTGTGTTCTTCTGCGGCGGGTCTTGCAGAACTTAGCTCCGACCGCATGGACAGTTTCCACGAGCTTGTCATTCAAATCGTCCACTTCATTGCAGTCTTCTAGGCACTGAAAACGGTTTTGTAACTCGAGCTGAAAGGTTTCGGGACTTTGGATTAGAGCACGAGGGGGACGGAGCGTTGACTTCATTAGACGAGACCTCTCCAACTTAACGTTTAGGTTCAGTGTGCCTCTAACCATTCGGTGATCGCTGCCGGTTTTCACCCTCGCGATCACTGAGACATCACTGAACAGTTGTCGTCTGGTCGTCATAATGAAGTCAATCTCATTTTTTGTCGAACCGTCGGGGCTCGACCAGGTCCACTTCCTGTGGGGCCGCTTCTGGAAGAAAGAGTTCATCATAAAGAGTCCCTCTTTCTCCATGAAGTCGGCCAGCTGCTGGCCCCTTGGGCTCCGTTGCCCTATTCCAAATTTCCCTACTTTCAGCTCACCGTTCTCTCTTGTGCCTAGTTTTGCATTGAAGTCTCCCATTAACACCGTATATTGGGTTTTGGAGGAATGCATGGCTCTAGAGATATCCTCATACATTTCCTCCACCTCCTCATCGGGGTGTGCCGAGGTTGGTGCGTAAACCTGTATGACCTTCAGCGAATACCGGTTAGTGATTCTGAGTATAAGGTACGCAACCCTCGTCGACACACTCTCAATCTTTACAACGTTGTTAACGAGAGACTTGTGGACAAGGACGGCAAGTTGCCGGATTCGAGGACTACCGTTTCCTGCCCATCTCTTCGGACTTCGGATAATCCTATAAATATATAAATTTGATTTAATACATACTTTAATCAAATTTTGATATCTGAATTTTTGTCTGAAAAATCGAAGACTAATGGGTCAGTTTAAATCTCTTTGAATTTCAAAAATTAATAAAACGATTTTTTGTTAGATATTTGAAAAATTATTTTTTTAAGTAATTTCGGATGTATTAAAATATTTATAATTGTTATAGTTTATAAAGAAAATAATAAAATAACAACGTATTTACTTCCAAGTTAAAAAGAATTCAAAATAAGTCGAATGTATATCGCATGTTAGAAAATTATTTATTTTATTTTACAGGTATTATTTCTGTTTACGAATGAAATAAGTTTAAAAAGAAGGACATAAACAAAAAAACAATGCCAATGTTTTTGTGGATACACCTTGATAGGCTTGTATTTAGTTATTAAAGTATTTAAGCAGTTAAAATAAATAGGTGATATTAGAAAAAATAAAAACAAGTCGTGTCAACGTCGCGACAATTAAAACAACAAACATTTAATTTGGTTTACGGTAATGTTTTATGTAATGAAAATGTCCATCTATGCAATTAAAAGGTTTATCTATTCAGACTGTATTTTACTCGTCTATTTTGGCGAAGAGGCGAAACTCGTGTCGTATTATCGTCGGTGGTGTGTATTCCGTAGTGTAGTGGTTTTGAGCGTAGTGGTAATGGGATTAGTGGTAACCGGGATAGTGCACGCAATTAAGGGAGGCCTGGAGGTGCAACGAGCACCTCCAACTAGGTAAGACACATAATTTTATTTCATTGAGCGGATGCAGGCAAAACAATTTTTACCAACTTCTATTTTTTAACAGATATTTTGATTTAATATATTCGAAAAATATTTGAAGAAATAGTCAACGATTAAAATATTATGTTTTTTACATATTACAATCCAATGCTTGACCAAAATCCCACCTGGTGGTAAGTGGTGATGCAGCCTTACATGGTAAATCGCACTGTATTAGAGTAACAAAGGCCTATTCACTCTTGCCTTGAAGACGACCAGATTGTATTCGGACGGAAAGATAGACGCCGGCAAACTATTCCACTCCTTTGCAGTACGCATCGCAAAAGACGAAGCAAAACGTTTGGTTCTAATGCGTGGAATATCGACAAAAAAGGGGTGACGACCCGCCGACCGTCTGGTTGTCCGATGGTGGAAAGAGAGGGAGGAATTAAATCGTGTAGTTCCTGCGCACACTCGCCGAAATGCATCCTATTGAATACCAAGAGACTGGCTTCCCTGCGTTTGTACTCGAGGCTGACAAGAATGGTTTTCTCCAAATAAAGGTCACCAATGAACCTCTTAGCACGTCTCTTCAATGAGTCCAATGCTGCCAGGTGGCATCTTGCAGCACCAGTCCATATGTGCTAGCAGTATTCCATGCATGATCGGACTTGCGCTTTATATAAGGTAAGAAGCTGGCACGGTAGGTACCGCCGCACCCTTGCAAGGACATCAAATTTATCGTCTGATTTGGCTTTGGACTCAATGAACCGCCCATAGTTGAGCTTCGGAGAGAATTCACCCCCTAACAACTGAAGGCGATCAGTGTTCCCCAAGGATACATTCCGGAAATTAGGGTGAGCGGGCTCCTTTTAGCGGTAAAAAGACATGCTTTTGTTTTGGAGGCGTTGAATCTCACGAGATTGGCATCGCCTCATTCGGAGACTGCCTGTGAGATTCACACGGTCAACTATGGACTCTCGCGCACTTGGTTGGTATCTCTCCACAACTGTGTTGTCGTCTGCAAATCTATAGATACTGGAAATGAGCAGATCATTTATATGCAGCAGGTAGAGAGTTGCGGAGAGTACGGACTCCTGAGGAACTGCTGCGTTTGTCGCGATAGGACAGTACGAGCAGCCATCGATGATGACTCGGAGAAATCGGTCACTCAGAAAGGCCTTCGCCCAGTCAATCAGGCCAGGGGAGAAGCCGTACGCTGAAAGCTTGCTCAATAGACTAGCGTGCCAAACCCTGTCAAAGGCCTTCTGAACATCAAAATCCCTCACCAAGATTTTCTCCTAAATCTTGAAAGCGTTTTATATACACACATTGCACATGAACAATCATCGAACGCAGAAAAAAATTTGGTTGCCACAAAAATTCTTGTTTCGTTCGGTATTCAAAGCCGCAACCTGCGCCACCGAATCATCCCGTTCGCAATCCGATAGTAACATATTTAAGTCAACTTAACGGATAAAGTTTGAAGTGCTACTTCTGTTCAACTAGTTTGAAGTTGTAACGGCAGTTACTTAAAATATATTTTTCAGACATTATATATTTTTATGTTCGCTTTTGTAAGTAAACAGTCTACAGCTAAACAATGGTTTTTTCATAGTATAGAGGTTCACAGACACGACTCTGTTATGGAAATTACGTAGCATTTTATATCGTAAAATAATTAAATATCAACGCCATGTTTGAACTTAAAAGCTCCTAAAACAGATCATTTGTCAGTCATTATTGCCAAATTTGGGATTTTCTTTTTTTTTTGTTTAATTTTGAGTAAGCTTCAAATCTGACAACAATTATTGTATACGCATTTACAGGATATGACGATAACTGGTTAAATAACTTGTAGAGTGCTTAATTAAATTAAGACTTATAAGCTATACTAAGATTATAATTTTATTAAAAAGTATTTAGACATAAACATTTAGTTTTTGGGCTTAAACACGAGAGCATTTATACACACACAAAACACTCACGCCTGTCACCCAGGAGGGTAGGCAGAGACTACGGACTTCCATTTGGCGCGATCCTGACACACCTCTCTCGCCTCCTTTACATTCATATATCTACGCATACACGCTTATCGGTTAAGGATACTTCTAATCTGGTCCATTTTCAATATATCGCCGATTTGGTCGATAAATCTTCGTCTAGGGCGTCCTATCCCGACTCTGCCGTTCACTTCTGCAACATAAATTTGCTTTGTCACTCTTTCCTCGTTAATTTTTTCTACACGACCAAACCACCGAAGCATTCCTTTATTAATCCTGGTCACAACATCATCTTGCAAACCACACTTTTCTCTTATCACACTATTTCTCACACAGTCATGCAGATTCCACCCTAGCATACACCACAATGACCGCATTTCTACAGCATTTATTCTACTCTCATGCTTCTTCTATCAGACCCAACTTTCACTAGCATACATTAAAGTAGGGACTAACACAGCAATATGAACTGACATACGTGCCTTATTTGACACATTCTGACTCTTCATAATAGTATGTAGAGTCCCATTCACTCTATCTCTTACGTTCACTCGTCGTTTTATATCCTTATCATATCTACCATTCCTGCTAAATAAACATCCTAAATATACAAACTCGTCCACTTGCTCAATCAACTCCCCTTCTATTCTTATTTCACTTAACGTTTTATTTTCTTGTCTTTCAAAAACCATCACTTTCGTTTTTTTTGTGTTCACTTTAATACCACTATCTTTTAACGACCAGTTCATTAAAGTAACCATCATTTGCAACTTGGCCGCCGTCGATGCAAATATGGCTTGATCATCGGCGTACAAAAGGCATTTGACGGTTAACTCACCCATTCTCAACCCACATTCTTCAACTTTCAAAGTTTGGAAACAACTGTCCATAAATAGGTTAAAAAGCCAGGGGGAAGCTACACAGCCCTGTAGAACACTTTTTGAATGCCGAACCAGTCCGAGTAGATCCCGTTGAACATGAAACCCGCACTAGAGTCCCTATAAAAAGACCTTAATGCATGTATCAAACCAGCGCTCGACCCAAATGAGTTCAGTGTTTGCCATTACACGTTCCTCTCCACTCTGTCATAAGCCTTTTCCATGTTCATGAACGCACAAAAAACTTTCTGGTTTTTTGGCCGAAAACTTCTCCGCAATCATGCAAATGGAAAAGACTTGATCCTTACACCCCATCTCCTTTCTAAATCCAACTTGAACATCCCAAATTTTTCCATTAGTTTCTTCCATACCTCTTTCAATTAACACCTTAGCATACAGTTTACCTACAATGCTAGACAAGTTGATACCACGGTGGTTTTTACAGTCCTGCTTCGATCCCTTTCCCTTATATATTGGAACTATAATGGCTTTGCACGAGTCTTCCGGTACCCGCGTCAGTTTCAAATATAATTTAAACAATGTGTACAGCAGGCCTGCAAGCACACCCTCTCCAGCCTTTAGCATTTCGAGTGATACTCTATCATATTCGGGTGCTTTACCTGCTTCCATGCTTTTCATTGCTTTCATTATTTCATCTACACTTATCTCCCTACCTCTCTCCACTTCTTTCGGAATTTCTATTTCACCTTATTTAGACGACTCTTAAACACGCTATCAAAGTATCTTTTCCATCTCCTTATATTCGAAACATCATTCAGCATGCAGCCATTCTCATCTCGTATAGCATTCGTTCTGGGCTGTTTTGAATTTCCCCTGGCTGTTTTTACGAGTTTCCAGAACATTTTAATATTTGCCTGGAAGTTATCAGATATCGTTCTATCATTCTTATCCATCTTTTCTGGCTTTTTCCTTTCAACAATTTCTTTTACTCTCTTATTTATACGTCTAAAGTCTGTCTTTATTCTTTCAATATCATCATTCATACAACCATAATTACTAGCTTTGGTTGCTAGTAAATCTAGCCATGCTCACTTTTTTGTTTCAACTTCCATCCGTATCTCACCACCACGTTTAATTTTTTCTTTCATTATTTCTCTTACTTACACCACATACTTCGGTGGCTGCATCCACCAAAACTTTCTTAACATTATTCCATACAGTCTTCAAGTCTAAATCGGTCATACATAAACATCTATCTTATCTTAAAATTAGTTTATAATGTTATCACTTAAGATACAACAAATTTACTGTATAATAGAAAGACCGATAAATTGGTAGAAAAGTTTAGAGATTTTTAAAAGCAGAAAAGACAAGTTGCCGACTAAGAGCGTAAACGACAAGCCAAATATCAGCGATAATAGGGCTTCTTGTAAATTGTAGCAGACGTCTGAGAAAACTATTTTACCTCTTGTAGAAATATAGAATTATGTTGTTATAATGTGTCGCGTTAAATTTATCTTTATAATATTTTCTATAAAATTAAAGATATATAAATCATGAGTTCTCTAAATCAGCCTTTGTTATGTGATGGTTAATTTGTGTTGTAATTGGAGATTGTATGAATTGTTGCAAAACTAAACAATCATAAAATGTTCATAAGTGTTTAGTTTTTGATTGGAATTTTAAGTAATTTATACCTTAGAGTACACATTTTAAGCATTTAAAATTGCACATTTTTTTCTTCTATGAATTACATCATCACCATCATCATTACAGCCCTTCACAAGTCCTCTGCTGAACATAGGCCTTCCACAAGGAATGCCTCAAAGCACGGTATTGAGCCACATTGACTGCATCCATCGCCTTCCTTCATGTCTTACCAGGTCGTCACTCCATCTAGTGAGGTGTCGCCCCACACTTTGCCTACCAATGTTTGCCTAACGCTGCCACTCGAGAACCTTTTTCTCCATCGGTTGTAGGTTCTTCGTACTACATGGCCGGCCCAATGCCACTTCAGCTTACTAATCTGTTAGTATCGGATAAGACTCGCTCTTGGATTACGTGTACAGCTGCCTATAGAACCTCTCAATCACTCAAAATCCCAGGTCTCCTAGAAACGACGCTGCCACACATAGTCTTCAGCTTTGACAGTTGGCTCTTTCTTGTAGACATATCTCTGGCAAAGTCTTTGAAGCCTTGGTTCCGCTTGAACGCTTTTTCAATACAAGCTGTATTGAAGTTGCGTAAGTTCCACCGCATGCATTTGGATATCTGTCTATTCAGTTGCCTGAATTCTGTCAAATCTGTTGAAGACTGAATCATCATTTAGCGTGTAACAACAATGAGAAAAAAACCGTGATCGGAGAGTTTTTGTGTTCTTCTGCGGCAGATCTCGCAGAACTTAGCTCCGACGACATGGAAAGTTTCCACGAGCTTATCATTCATATCGTTCATTCATCGCAGTATTCTAGGCACTGAAAACGGTCTTGTAACTCGAGCTGAAAGGATTCGGGGCTCTGGGCTAGAGCACAAGACATACGAGGCGTTGAAGTGTAATGAGAAGAGATCTCTCCAACTTAAAGTTTATGTTCAGTGTGCTTCTAACTATTCGGTGATCGCTACCAGTTTTCACCTTCGCGATCACCGAGACATCACTAAACACTTGTTGTCTGGTCTTCTCAATCTCACTTTTTGTTTAACAGTCGGGGCCCGACCAGGTCCACTTCCTGTGGGGCCGCTTCTGAAACAAAGAGGTCACAATAAAAAGTTCCGTTTTCTCCAAAACGTCGGCCAGCTGCTGGCCCCTTGGGTTCCGTTGCCCAATTCCAAATTACCCTACCTTCAGCTCACCATTCTCTCTTATGCATAGTTTTTAATTGAAGTCTCCCATTAACACCGTAGAATGAGTTTTGGAGGAATGCCATCCTCAAATGACCTCCTCATCGGGATGTGCCGAGGTCAGTACGTAAACCTGTATGGCCTTCAGTGAATACCGTTTGGGAATTTTGAGTTTAAAGTACGCAAGCCTCATTGACATACTCACAATTTTAACAACGTTGTTAACGAGAGACTTGTGGACGATAAATCCGACACCTCCTTGGGATGGTCCTAGAACCGGTGATAGACCAAGTTACCGGATTCGAGTATTACGTGTACTAAGAGAGGGGCTCATGGCATATAGGATAGTCATATAATATTTCAGCTTAACTTGCCTAACTCTCCTTCCAGCTCCAGGTTCTTCTCGTCAGTCGTCAGTGAGCGTGCGTTGTATGTTGCTAGGTCGA